GATTCGATTCGATCAAATTCAAATTGATTCAAATTGATTCGATCAAATATTTGAGTTCAATTCAATTCGATTCGATTTGATTTGAAAAAATCAAATCAAATTCAAATTGCTTAAATATTTGATTTGATTCGATTTTGAGGAACCCTAGTTTGTACAATGAATTCTTTGATGAGGTCATCCCGATCGATATACAATCAATCATCATGCGCGAATCCTTTGGACATCCAGCTTCCTTTATGATTTTCGGACGTATTCACCGATCTATTGGAACTGTTGATCGAAAGAAAATTTGGAAAATTATCTAAATGGGACACGTGTTAAAATTACGAGAGCATTACGAAGGATGAACTCAACAGATCTAGCACACGTTCGTGACTACACGGCAATCAGAAATGAATTTTGGGAAGTAGATTTATAAAACCTCAGCGAGATTGACAAATATCTACTTAATATTAGCATTCTGGTACCAATAACAAAAGACACAGATCTAAGAGGAGCTAAAGTTTCTTTTACGAGTAACGTTATTTTTCGTGTTGTCTTTTGGGAGGTTGGGCCAAAGCCAAGGAATTCTTTGCAAATACAGGATGTGAAAGACCCTATCTTTTTGTTAGCACATACATTACAAAATGTCACATCGGCTACAATCGTAAATGAACAAGTAAGAAATCTGCATGGCCCATCAGAAAAAGCTTTCCAAGCAGCGGTTTACCGTGTCATGAATGAGCTACTTCCAATTTCAATGAATTGCTTATTTGAAGAAGAATACGGGAGCATAAGGCACTTGACCTAATGGTGATTCAAAATAATAATAATTGGTGTGGTTATGAGTTCAAAGTTGAAAAAATATCTTCAGCTCAGTTTAGAGACCCTGTGAAACAGGCTAAAAGATACGCTGAAACCGTGATCTGTAATTGCGGCGATCATCTGATTTAGTTGACAGATTGGTCATATTTGACCGATGATCTATATTTATCATATTTAAACTTTATTAACTTTATTAAATTTGTTATATTTGATAGATTTATTTTATTTATTATATTTATCATATTAGTTATATTTATTATATTAGATATATTTATCATATTATATTACTATTAGTTTATTTTATATAAATAGCATGTATTTTCCCTTGAGTTGAAAGATAACTCGAGATAGGGTTTTGTGAATAAACCAAGAGTTCAATAAAGATATTTGTTATTCATTTACTATTACCTTTTGCCGTGTCTTCATACAGGCGTAATTGTGATAAAGTTATTGTGATTAATTCGAAGGACTCCGGCTAACAAAGCTGAATATTTTAGAATGAACATATACTTGGTTAATTTCCACCATGATGGTGGCTCAACTCCAACTGTGATGTCACACTAGTGAATATAAAATATAATGCGAGGTGCACCAAATTTACTATTAATGCGATTGATAATGAGATATCAATCATGATTATAAGCAAACATTCTGTTGTCTGTACTGTATTTCTATATTTTTCATTTATCTGTAAACTATCTCAATGTAGAATTTTTATTATCATGCACAAATAATATAAATATATCGATTTTTTTATTATAATGTATGTAATGTATGTGATCATAAATTTTATTATCGTAACTAAGAAACTTCTGGAAGAAAGCACAAATAATATTAACCATTAGTTTATTCCGAGTCTATAGAAATCTGTCGAAACCCGTTAAAATCATCGAAATTCGTCAAACTGAAAATAATTTTCGAAAAGATTTGACTTTAACCAAAATTGGATTAGGGCTTGCCCCACAACCTTAAGAAAATCCTCTAAAGTCTGCATATTAACAAATTTAAAGTTTCATTAAATGAAATATTATTTCTTTATAAGAAAAATTTTTATAAATCATGTGTGATAATTTATCGAAGAATGGGTTATTTTTTAGGATATGACCTGCAACAATTTCACTCAACAAGGCTGGTTATTATTTGCCTAGTTTTTTTTTGTCAAGTGACTTCAAGTAACCTTTATTATTGTTTGCAAAGTAGCGTAATTATTTTACGATTTACAAAAATAATACAGTATAAACTACAAGATTGAAATGCTGGAATTTACAAATACATCATAAATTCGGACCATCAATTAATTCAATACGCCACTAAAAAAAAGAATTGATATTTTAATTTGGTGTATAGAAGGTCATTACATTTGAGGTTAACCGTAAAGTAATACCTTATTATTTACATCATTTCCATTTCCATGACAAGAAACTTCTTGAGTTCCGTCATCCAATAATACGGGATGACTATAAAGTGCTGAATAACCAGTATTAACATGGGTTATGCTAATTATATCACCATTCAACAAATAACATGATACATTTTTAGAACGTTTAATGACAAAGTCGTCGTTGTCATCTCTACCTTTCCAGATGGTCGCTAAATATTATTATTTTTATAAACTTTAATATGTAAATGATTACCTTCTGTCGCTTGATGTTTAAATCCAATAATAGAATTTAAAGGCACAGGGCTTCCCGTGCATACACTTGTACCATAAGCTTCAATAATAGTAAAAACATCATTTTTCAAATCGATTTCCCAACCTTTACACACAACCTTAACAAGTTTACAATATTAATTTCGATATAACTAATAAAGAACAAAAAATGTTGAAAAATACCATATCTTGATCGTGATCTGGATATTTGATTCCATTAGTAGTCAAATATTTTCTAGTAGATACATGGACAAGGGCCACCTTCGACCCATATTTAATTACATCATTCTGAAATTATTATTTAAATTAAGTTGTCATCTTAAATGATGCACGTAATGAGAAAATTTTAAATAACTTACAACGAAATCTTGCTTAACTTCTTCGGCACATAAACGCCAATTGAAATAGCGGACATTACTAAATGATAATGTCAATACAATAAATATGATATTTATTTATTTGTATTAGTGTTTCTAAGATAAGTCATACCAAATTTCGCCATTAAACCCATTGTCGAAAGAACGTCCAATATATAATGGTCCTTCATTGAATATAACATTTTCTGTTGTAACGTTCTGGATTCCATAATATCCAAACCATTCACCGTCAATGTAGATGTCTAATCTCTTTTCAGAATCTGAAAGAGTATAAGATATGTGGTACCATCTATTCAACAAAAGTCCGTCACCGAGCTCATAAATTCCTGCATTATTTGTCCAGTTACCAGTGAACCGAGCATGCAATGAGGATTTCTTTGGTAACAACTCGAGTCTAGGTGTTCGGATAAATGATTCGGTACCTGAATGTTTGTTTATTTTATTGAGATCGAAGGAACAAGATTATTTTAAAAAAAAGAACTAATCTTTCTTACCTTTGTGAAAAACAATAGAACAATTGGTAGAATGACTGTGAAGTTTTATTCTTAATGTCAATGATAGTCCATCATTTACTACGGGTAAGTCAGCATGCTCAAAGACTCGTTGAGACTGTTCATTAAAGATAACGGGCACTGAAATAAGCTCAGCCCACTCTTTAACGATATATTTCCTCATTTTCTAAGAAACATTAAAAATTGCCAAATGAACCTTCGTTTAACTAGTAAATGCAAGTAATTGAATGAAATAGTTTTACCTAAAGTTGTTCTTGAACAAAGTTGTGTTTTGTAACAGCCTTTTCTTCAAAAATGAATAGTAGGATCGCCATAATTTTTGTCTTTATGAATGCAAGTGCAACAAAACTTGGTGACGCAAAATTTGTAGGGAGCTAACTTTTTTATATTTTTTAAAAAAATTAATTCACATGCTAATTTTGAATAGCCATGATTCTAAATTGCTTTTTCAAGTTTATGTAAAATTTCAATAAATTTTATGCATTGTTTATTAAGAGGAAAATTCAATCATATTTTATTATACAAAAGAAGCTGTATCCGACGTAACAAGTCATTTATTGTGAAAAAAATCATCATTATTTTAATTGAATATGAATGAGACATGAAAGGTCTCTATTTTCAACTTTTTTACTGCGGTGAATCAAATTTTTGTTTGACGCACCTACAAAACCAACAAATTGAATAAAATCCAATATCAGTTGTAAAAAGGACTGAAACTCTTTCAATCGAGAATATCTTGCGGCGTAACCAATTATTTTCAATCAAAAAATTTCAAATTTGCAAATAAAGTTATCGAAATAGATACACTTTATTTCTTTTATTGCCTTAATGAATAAGTTATTTGATTTTTTCTTAGGAACGTTATTCAAATTTTTTTATTAGATGTGAACTGAATGGCCGTTACACAAAATCAATTTGTTAGACACGATTAGGTGACTATTCAAATATTACATTCGAGCAATATCCGTGTAATATATGCAATACTTCATATTTATGGGTCATAGGAAATTGAAAATGAGGTTTGGCGTTCTTTCCTCAATTAAATCCTAAAATTAGATGCAATGATCTTTCTTTTTTTTTAATATTTTTCGTCAGTGCAAAATTGATTGATTAATTAAGATCTTATCACTTGATAGCTTTCAAAAATTGATGTTTATTAAAAAATCAATTATGTTAAATGAATCTGCCCATTTTCTGAAAATTTATTTTGGCCGAATATTTCCAACCTTAAATAAATAACTATAATTGGTGGCACAACTTAAATTATTATTTCCAAATTAGTTCAGTCCTTCCAAGAACTTTTTTTTTATTTTAATAATTAAAACCTAATAATGTGATCGTTCTACTGATTAAAACCTTAAATACCAACTTTCAAAACTGGAAAGTACCAATATTTTAACGCCTTGTTTATTTAGTTAGGCCTTCGAAATTCTAACATTATTACAAATTTATATAAATTATAAAATCAGAATTACTTATAAAATATTTTAATATGAAAGGAATGCATAAAGCTTATCCTGATATGGAATACTATAGATACAAATAAAAAGTCATTTATATCCAATCAAAAATGCCGTAAAAAAAAAATTGTTCCACTGTTTCAAACAGTCAGAAACTTTGAATGAACATTAAAAACTAATAATTTATTTATTTTTTTTTGGATATAGTGAAAAATCTTGCTCTCGTATAGCAGAAGAGGTCAAAATAATTTCATAAAAATCGGATCAGATCAAAATGGAACAGAATTAAAAAGGATTATGTTAGATAAACCTAATGGTTTAGTAATTTTTCTAAATAATAAAAAATAAAATTTAGTAAATACTTATTAAAATTCAGATAAAAATAATATATATAAAAATTTATAAAATAAATAATTAAATCAAGCTAAATAATATTATTTAATTATTTAATAATTTAGAAACTTTTCAAAACCTTTAAATAACTTTTTTTCAAATATATAACTTAAAAATTTATTAGAAATTTAAATAAAGATATTAATTACAAATAAATAGTTTAATCTCAAATATTGCAAAAAATTTTAAAATAATCTTAAAAAGTATATTAATCAAAACTTTAATAAAAAATTAGCAAATTAAAAGTTTAAAAATTAAGGGTTTAGAAATTTTAAATAAATTTATATAAGCAATATTAATTATAACAAATATATTATTTAATTTTATTTTGGTAATATTTATAAAGTATGTTTATCCAATTATGTAGATATATTTGTAATTTATAAATCATAAAAGGACTATTCTAATAAAATAATAAATCATTATTTTAAATGAATGATAAAATATCATTCTAATAGAATGATAATATATTATTCTAAAGTAATGATAAATGAATTATTTCAAGAGAATGATAATAACATTATTCTAAAGAAATAATTATTCTAATAGAATTATTTTAAAGAAATAATAGAAAAATACTTTAATAGAATGATAAAACATTATTCTTAAGAAATGACAAATAACATTATTTCAATAGAATGATATTATATCATCTATCATTCTAAAGAAATAATAAAATAGCTATTCTAATTGAACAATAAAATATTATTCTATAACTGATAAAATAAAAGAATTATACTAATAGAATTATCATATATTATTATAAAGAAATAATATTATTATTATTTTATTATAATAATTATTTTATTATTCTTTTAGAATTATCTTTTATTTTTTATTAAAATAATTCTTTTATTATTCTTTTAAATGATGTTTTATCATTCTATCGAAATGATTTTTTCATTATTTCTTTAGAATAATAACTTATCATTCTATTAGAATATAACTTCTATTATTTTTTTAGATAATATATGATACTATTAAAAAACTTTATTTATACTTCCTTTAAAATAATTGTTAAGTTTTTACTTAAGTTTAGCTTAACTTTAGACTTAAATATTGCTCAATTTTGGTTAAGTTAAATAAGTCAAAATTTTTTTAACTTGACTCAACTTAACTCATCTAACTTAAAATTTAGCTTAAATCATTCAGATTTCTAAATTAAAACATTAATAATATATAATTAAAATATAATAAATATGTATATAATTTAAATATTATTATTTTTATAAATTTTCATCTGTATGTTTATCTTTAACTTACTTTTATTCTCATAAACTAGTTTTTAATTACCTTCTACCTTACTAATAATACTTCTATCTTTTTGATAATTTTTTCTAAAAATTTTATGATATTATATTTACTATCTCTACCTCTAATATCTTCAATTATTTCATCATATCATTTAAGTTATTGATTAAAAATATTAAAATATTATTATTTAAGAAAAATATTGTATAATAATAATTTTCATCTAAATTAATAGAACTTGTATTCTTCAAATCTAAAAATATTTAATATACTTTTCTTTGGTAATAATTATTAAGTTCTTTTAAAACTTTGTTTAACTTCAAAAATTAAATTGTTAAATATTTTTTTAGTATTAAACTTTTAATATTTTTTTTAGGTATTTTACTTTTTTATAAATAAAAATAATAAAAATTATTAAATGTATTTTATTTATTAAAAAAATTATTTTTAGTTAATTAACTAATAAAAAATTTTTGCTTATATATAAATATTTTATAAATTACAAAATTGTATTATTTTAATAAAAATTTATAATAATTAAAATATAGATTTAAATGTATAGATTTAAATAAAAAATTATTCTCATATATATTACATTTCCTATATTATAATATATTTTAATAACATTTAGTCATATATAAAATTAGTATGTATTATTATATAAGATTTTCTAATTAAAACTAATTAACTTAAATAATAATCATTTTTACATTATTTATTAAATGTGATAAAATGAAAAATGATTAGCAAAATGTAAGTATAATGTTCCTGAAAAGTCTCAAATCAAATAACTGAATATATTCTTACTAACATTAAAAAATCAAGTGACAAAAATTATGTTACAGATAATAAAAAACTTATTGAAGTTGAAAAAAAGTAAATATCAACAGCTAATAGTAATAAATACTACATTTTAATGACTATCTTGAGATAAATAATGATTAATGATAATGATCATTTTAAGATAGCAGATATAATGATAATTACAATGATAATTTATTATTTTTTTTTTTTTATAATTTTGCATTTTCTATTTACTTATTCTTAAATTGAGAAGGACTGATAATATATTTTTAAGTTTTTAATTTTTGTTTTTTTTTCCATTTTATTCTTTCTTTTATTTTTTGCATTTTTCTTTTTATTTTATTTATTTTATTTTTAATAATTAGAAGAGTGTGTAAGATAATTTATTTTCATATTTGCTTATTTGTTTTTTGATTTAGTTTTTTTAGCATTAAATCAAAAGGCAATTGAATAACAATAATTATAATAATTATTTATTGATTACAGTGTCAATTTCTTCTTTTTCATTTTTTTCATTTTTTTCTAGTTTTTTAGTATTTTTAAATTAGGATATGTTGGATATTTTTAGTATTTTTTATTTGCTTTTATTATATTTTGAATATAATAAATAAAATTAATAAAAAAATATTATTTACCAAAATTATAAAATGAATAAATTTAATTTATATAACAAATGTTTAGTTAAAAATCAAATAGGCAATTAATGGATAATTAATAACTGATTGATATTTTTAATCAACTTCTATTTTATCAATTAGAATTAATGTAAATTGGCCATAAATTGGTTATCAATCATCCAATTATATAAAAATTTATAATCAATTTTTTTATATTAAATTATTTATAAATTTCTTATAATAAATTTCATATTAAAAATTACTAAATTTTTATATATTCATAACTTTGAATTCTACTTTTCTTTTATATTTCAAATTTACAAAAGTATTATAAATCTTTGATTTTTTATATAATAGAAAGTTCTTTCTTAAAAAGAAATACAAAAAATCATAAAATAAAATATTATAATATTTATTTTATAAAACAAATTATTTTTTGGTAGTTTTTTTAATAAAGCTATTTATTAACTTTTTTAAAAAATATTCTGAATTTATTTAATTATATGTATGATGTTGCATAAAAACTATATAAAGTATAATTTATCAAATTTATAATTTCATATAAAATAACATCAATTTTAAAAAGAACTATATTAAATACAAGTATTTATTATACAATACATAATAATACAAAAAAAATTTAATAGTAAGTATTTATATGATATCTATAAATTTTTAATTTAATTTATTAATTGAATATTCTAATGTTAATTGCAGATTAATTTTATTTGTGTAACAAAAAATTTTATTCCACTATTAACTGTTAAATTTTTTAATATTATTTATACAAATCAAATAATTTTTAGAATTTCATATGAGAGTCATGCTATTAAAAGTAAATTATGAAACTAATAAATTGATTTTGAGTAATTAATAATCAAAAAAAATAGTTAATTCACAATAAATATACTTGAAAAAAAAAATTGCATTAAAAATATATATTAAGTCGATTAATTAATAAGGTGATATTATAATAATATGTCAAAAAAAATAGAAAACAAAAAGCCAAATAAAGAAGCTGCTTTGTTTTATTTTTTCAAATTAATAAAAAATAAACACAAATAAAACTTTTGATATTCCACCTATCTGAAGTACTTTTGAGACTATTACTACTAGATTTTTGAATGAGCTGAGTTAACTTTTGAATCAAATGAATTAAATTAAGTTAAGACAAATCAAAACAAAAATATTTGACTCATTCAAGTTAAGTTGCGTTTCAAATTAAGCTTGACTCGACTTGAGATAATTTTTTTATTTTCTTTAGAAATACATAAAGATAAGCCTTTTAAAAGTGGTATTTGGATTTTTCAACTATTTTCTTTATTTTTTCTTTATTTTCTTTAGGAATACATTAAGATAAGCCTTTCATAAATAGCTTTTTAATGGTTTTCTAAATTTTACTTTATTATTTTTATCTTTAAAAAATCAAATATATCTTTTTATAATAAAATATAATGCAATATATATTCTTTTGAGTAATTTATTATGTAATAATAAAATAAATTTATAAAATAAAAAATGTGTTTATTAGTTTCAACTTTATAAATAGTTGCTTAATTGATTTTTTGCTATTTTTAAGCTGATTTATGCTAAATTTTGACCAATTATTAATTAACATAATGCTGATTGGTAACTGATTTTCTATTTATTTAAAATACAGATTTTTGGCAATAATCAACAGATTTAGACTATATTTTAGCCAATTTAGCAATTTAAAATGTGATGAATTATATTATTTGCCTAATAATATATCAAACAAATACCAATTATTAATATTAAATATTTTTTGTGTGATATGAAATTAAGCAATGTTGGCTATAACTAAAATGCTGATTGTTTTAGCAATGATTGGCAAAAATTTCAGCCAACATTCGCATTTTAAAAAAAATGACTATTTTAGAAATCTTAATTAAAAAATCATTCATTTACCCTATAATTTTAAATTGTTTCTTGATTAGGATGACAGTATCAATGAAAATTTTGCAGAAGCCACAAACATTCTAGATGCATAGCCATTGTAATGAAATTCCATGACACCAAAAAAAATAGTATTGTGTGGTAAAATGTCATCATTACTTTCAATGTAATTATTGAATAGTATACAGGTTACGGGATTTTATGTATAACGAAAATAATCATTCATCAATGAATTTCCATACAAAAAGGTGCTTTGACCTATTCTTGATTTAAAAGAAAACAAGCCTCATGTATTCTATGTAACAGTAGAAATGGAGGAAACTGGGGGAAAACGAGTAATTGTTTGATGATCTTGAATTCTAGAATTAGCATTTTTTTTTTCGGCAAAAGCTAAATTCGATATATCAAATCTTTATAAATTCAATAGCTTTTCTCTCGAATTTTTTTTAATTTTCTCAAGAACGAAAAAAAAAAAATAATATTTCTCATTTCAACGAAAAGAAATTCACCAATTACTCTTTACAATGTTGTGGTCAAAAGTTACTGCGTTATTAGCCGCTACCATTGCATTTTTTAGTGCTACGGTGCCATCAGTTACCGCTTCTCCTATTGATTCTGAGAACAAGGCTTTTGCCAATTATCCTGACTTTATTAATAAACGAGATGTAAATGATGGTAAACCATTATTCAGATAAATCAATTTCAAAAAAAAAAAAAAAAATTTAAATTAATTTCCTTGTTTCGAACTTTGTAGGAATAGTTGCTAGAGGCAACGATCGACGTAGTCGTGGTTCAAAAATTAGTCGTGGCGCAAATCGTACAAGTCGTGGAGGAAGTCGGTATTATTCTTTTATTTTGTTTCGTAAATTTAGAATTTGTTAACTAATTATGATTTTATTATTTAGGAGTTCAATAATTTTAATGTATAAAATTTTTGTTATTGTTGTAAAACAAAATCAATTTGTTAATATTTACTTTTGAAATAAATTTATTAAATATACAAAATGAACTTGCTTCTGCCGTTTATATGCAATGCTTGAATATGTTTTATTGCTATAATTTCAAATGGAATCTTTTAACATTAAATTATTACTACTGATAATGAAATAAACTATTGGCCAAGAATAAAACTTTATTTATCGTGAACTCCTTCCTAAGCATTATTTTTTCTTTATAGTAAAGTATGATGGAGCCAGTATTGTCATCTTAAATAGTTTTTAAGATATTTTCTATTCAATAAATAATTCCTTTGTATAACGGGTGACAGGAACAAATGTTAGTTAAATCAAACAATTAACGAAATCGATCGGGATCTTTTGTATGACATCACGTTTGAAACAGAGTTACCATCTATCGACGCCTTAAACCTTATTTATTGAATTAGTCTTTACGAATTAAAAGGACTTTTTTTTTGCTTTAAAAACCGAAATCAACTACAAAATACAAAAAAAAATATGAATGGCCGCCTTAACTAAACTTAGTAATCCAATCGTATGTAACGCATACTAGTCGCTCAGAGCAACAGGTGAGTAACATGCGGAAAGCGGAGAGCAACATGTGCACGATGAAGGCATATATGTATTTTATTATATTTGTATTTTCTTCATTACAGCATTATTCCAGTATTCAAATTTTTCATTTACTTTATTCCATTCATATACAATAAATAACTATATCTTTTATTTAAAAAATTCAAATGTAATTTAAAAAATTCTATTATATTATTGCACGACTGTGTGGAATCTAATTATCAATATTACAGTAACATGTTGACATAATAAAGAACGTGGCTATACAATAATATTTACCTAAATGCAATTTTATTATAATAAATATTATTTTACTATTTAATTTATAATCATAGCCAAAAAAATAACTTGCACACTAAAATGTAAAATTTTTTTTTATAACTTCGGTAATCGAGTCTAGTTCTGTAAATATGAACAGGTTCAAGTTTGAGTTTGTTCCAAATCTGGCCCGACTTGACACCTGATGTTATGTATTTATTAATTTATGTCATTTTAATAACGGGACTAAGCATCATGGCTTATAATATTGATCTTTATTTGTTTTATATCCGTTTATTTACTTTTAATTTATTTGCAGCTATAGATAAAATTATTGACAACATTTCCGATTGAATACAAGATTTTTACATATTTTATCATTTTTTTTTAATTTGAAAGAGAAGATTCTTAGTATTTACAATCATGTTGACTTATCCGATGAAACCTAGCAAACACTCATGGTTAAGAAATTTTAAACTTTGAATTTCCGAACAACGTCGTAGAAATTAATTAATTATTTTTTGAATCTTCATATATTTTAGCACAGCAAAGAAGACATTTGATTTTTTTTTTTAAAAAAAAAAATATATATATATATTCTATTATCGTTATATTTAAATAATCAAATTTTATTCAAAAAGAATAAAAAATAAAAATAATAAATTTCCAAAAAACCTCACATTAATATTAGCCTCCCTACAATTGAATTTTTACAGTGTTATTAGTTAATGATTCTCCCGAGATACGCAAAAAATAAATTTATTTTGATCCTGAATTTATCGTTGAATGGAAAGGTGATGAGTTGTGTATATAAAGATGATAAAAAGTGTCCTTACAGATATTACTAAAAAAGGATATTTTGTTACACAAATTCCAAAAAGGGTATTTTTGCCTGTCAAAATAAGGTACACAGTACGGTACGGTTACACAAAATACTAAAAATGCAATTTTACCCGGAAAAACCTTCAAAAATAGTTACACAAAAATCCAAAAATGTAAATTCATGTGACATATGTCACGTGAAAATGCCTGAAGTCCGGTATAGACAGCAGGGTGGACATACTTCATATTATCACATTTGTTGATCATTTTGCCGATCATTTGCCGATCATTTGCCGATCA